AAGTTCGTAATAGCGTGATTTACGTAATCTCGAATCCCACCACAATGAATGTGTTGCATCACTACCTTCGAACGACTGAATGGACGTTAAGCTCCAAAAAAGATGGGATATATAATATATTAAATGTCAAAAAGCTATATAGGGTAACTCCGGTATATATGCCGCGCTGGGATTTACATCGCGGAAGTCAGAAAAAATAGGAGTAGGGGTAATTTTCTCGTAACTTACTCTGTTACATGCCTTTATGTTATATTAGTATTGAGTTATAATTTTAGCTTCTTACTGTTAATATTAATGAAATTATTGTGAGTTGAATCGATTTATCACTGTGTGTGTAACAAGTAGCATCATCATAAATTATAATCTACATAAAATCATTACTGTCAGGCGTGTAAAAGACCTAGTGGTTATTTCGTGATACATACGTGTAGAGGAATAGTAAAGCATGTTGTATATAGCAAAATACAAGTGCTTTGCTTTCGTATTCTTTGTTTAGTTTGTTGAAACCCTTGCATTTTTGCCATATATCCTACCCATTATCTATATACATATAGCAAAAATGCAAGATTTCAAAAAGTTTATTTTTTAATACGAAAACTAAATATTTCGGATTAGATACAATTATAGAAGTCGTGCGCCCCTTTGCATCGCGTGAAAAGTCGAAACCCATGTAGAACAGTACAATTATAGACCTCATTTTACCTCTATGACTGATTTCCTAACCTGAATAGTCATCAACTTTAATGCTTAATATCTCAGATCACAAGGCAGAACGATATTTTTTTTTGACATATTCTTTCGTTTCATGCAAAAACGCGTCGAATAAGCCTAATAAGAGTGGTTTCACAAAATTTTCTGATTTTAATAATTTATTCGATTATCCGCTCATATATACGCGATGGAAAGGTACCGGTTCCCCATGAAGCGTACTTTTCGAGATGTGTAGGTTACGAAAACCAATCGTAAATTCATTTAGCATTTCTGTTAGGGTGTACAACAGAAATTCTAATCAGCAATTGGTTGCATTAGTTCCGCATTGGTGGCACCCAGTTGGACACGGCTCAATTGGACACGAGCCACTCACAGCGCTTGAGACTACAAAGCTCCGAAGCACCGGTCGCTGTGATTGGTGGTGTCCAATCGAGCCGTGATCAATCGGAATCATCCCGTTGGATTATTCTTTCCTATTGGTTGACGTCACCCGCTCTACCAATAGGAGAGTACAAAACGCCATTAATCCAACCCAGGGGCTCTATTCTCGAAAAGAAACGTATGCGAAAGCTAGGAAAATGCTACAGTATACGTAACGTATACTATAGTATTTCCCTAGACTTTCGTATACGTTTCTTTTCAAGAATAGAGCCCCAGGTTGGTGCAAACCTGGCCGGGCCGAAAACGCTATATCACATCAAAAGAGGCCTACAAATGGCGGCGTCCAATCAGACCGCCCCTCATGTCCCGACTCTCATTATAGGGACTCTACACTTGACACACGTCAAACTGCCTTTGGGAGTGTACTCTCTATACACAATATTTCATGCTGCAACAGGTGTTCTATTGACATATGAGGTTTGTTTTCTGTGGCTCAACTAGTGTACACTTTTGGAACTTAAAGTGAGATAGATTTACGTTTGATATTTGTTTAAAGCGAGAAAGAGAGTTCTAGAACAGTGCAGGAACAGAAAACAGATCAATGTAAAGATATTCAATATTAGCCAAATGAACTTGTTGAGACATGGTGATGTTTAAATCACGATAATTCCTGAAAGCTACCTTTAGATACATTATTATATCTTGATTATTCAATTTAACTCTCCTCAGCTTCAATTTTGAATCGATATATATCAAGTATGAATGGACATACAGATTCTGTCAGTGCAAATGCACAGTGTACTCCACCAAATTCGAAAGACGAGAAAAATAATGTTTTAGCTGCTTATCATTCTCTGATATTTTCAAAAAAAGACAAAGACTGTTTCGATGTCGCAGATATTGAACGCAATTCTCTTTCTGTGAAGTATATGACAACAAAATTGTTGTGAGTAAAATACATTCATACATCCATAGTTTTCTGTTATATTTCTGTTTACATTTTTGTCTTCTTATTATTGTACAGCAATTCAGAAGATATGGCAGCTGTGCTGCTTCGAAAGGGTCTTAAAGATTATCACAGCCAGATAAAGGATATGAACGGGGTAAACAATTACTGGAAACAGATTAAATCTCAACTATCGGACACAAAAAATGATCCATTGAAGTGGAAGTCAGAATTAGAAGATGTGGACGCTACGTTAAATTTTATAAAACCTTTGACTTGTCAGAAGCTCAATACTCTACCTTGTGAAAAAAGATCTTACAGTGATAGGGATATAGAGAAACTAATGAATAATTCAAAGAAGAAAGATATAGAGAGAAGTAGAAAAATCTGTTCGCAGTTACAAGCAGCTTCTAATCAGAATTCAAGTCAGAAACTTTTATTAAAGCACAGTGAACAAAATATATCTACGTATTTTACAAACGTTCCTAGAAACTTTAATAAGCATGTAAGTTCCACCAAACAGAATGTTCCCAAAGTACAAATAAATGGTCAATCTTCTTATCAAAATTTGGACAGATTTGTGCAAAAAGTACCTCCTAAGTTAAGCAATAATAATATGAATAATAAAAGCTCGTACAGACCAATAAATTCTCATGTGCTACAATTAAAACCAGCCGCTCCTCCACAGACTATCAGTGAGAGCGCCAGTACGCAAAAAATTGATTTTGACTCCTTTAGGAGCGCCAGGGACGAATTGTACATCCAAGAATTGAAGAAGAACAAGTCGGCGCCAAAGAAAACTTTGGGCGGCCGAGGGGCGGCTAATTCTCAATTCGTCTGTCCTTTCAAACGCGATAAGGAAGAGTCGGCGCAAAATTACAATACATCCCAAGGTAAAGCGAACGAAGAAGTAGAGGATGAAAGGCTGAAGAACATTGATCCAAATATGATCGAGTTGATAAAAAATGAGATCATGGATTCAGGTAAAACGATAACGTGGGACGACATCGCAGGGCTCGAGTACATAAAAAAAATTATCAAGGAAGTAGTAGTGTTCCCCATGTTGAGACCAGATATCTTTACGGGTCTCCGTCGTCCGCCCAAGGGGATTTTGCTTTTCGGCCCACCCGGAACAGGAAAGACTCTCATCGGCAAATGCATAGCTTCGCAGAGCAAGTCTACATTTTTTTCAATTTCAGCGAGCTCTCTGACTTCCAAGTGGATCGGCGACGGCGAGAAGATGGTACGCGCGTTATTTGCAGTGGCCAAGGTTCACCAGCCGTCTGTCGTCTTCATTGATGAAATCGATTCGTTGTTGACACAGCGTTCTGAGACGGAGCACGAGTCCTCCAGGAGGTTGAAGACGGAATTCCTAGTGCAGCTAGACGGCGCGGCAACATCTGAGGAAGATCGTATTCTAATCGTTGGTGCAACCAATCGACCGCAAGAACTGGACGAGGCGGCAAGAAGACGTCTCGTCAAAAGGTTGTATGTTCCTCTGCCGGAACTCGAAGCGCGCAAGCAAATAATAAATAATTTATTGATGTCGGTGAATCACGATCTTAATGAGGAAGCTATCATGAAAGTCGCAGAGAAATCGGCGGGATATTCCGGCGCCGATATGACTAATCTCTGTAAGGAAGCAAGTATGGAACCGATCCGGAGCATTCCCTTCAGTCAACTTGAAGATGTAAGAATGGAGGAAGTGAGACACATAACGAATACTGATTTTGAACAGGCGTTAATCAATGTGCGACCCAGTGTGTCTCAGTCGGATTTAAAGATTTATATCGAATGGGATCGTATTTATGGTTCTGGTACTGCTCAGAATTATAAAACCTAATGCAATATGTGCAAATAACTTAATTATATTTTTTATCTTAATAATATGTTATAAATAATGATATTATAAATTATCGAAAAGAAATTCTCTCGTGTTATTTTTGTAATTTCAAGTTTTCTAATAAATACATTATTTTGTGCCAAAATAAATTCTCTTTTTAGTAAGAATTGTAATTCTTTCTGTGATGTAATAATTTGTTCCTAATTATTACATCATGATTAAAATATTAGCTATTAATTAAATATTTGTCAAAGCAAACGGTCTGCCTTGTAACTAATCTGCAATTGATTTATAGCAAATTTAATCATTCGTACTCAAATTTACTATTATAAAATTCTGTATATTATTGTGTAATTTTAAAAGCGGTATATGTATTAAATATATTATGTAAATTGTATTCTTTATATTATATAATTATTTTATAGATTCATTAAAATAAATATAAATGAATATAATCTACATTATATTCATGAATAATAACATTTATATTATTTTGTAATATACATATAATGTTATATAAGTAGTACAAAATAATATAAAAAATATATATTAAATTAGTAGAATTTCGAACAAATAAGTTTTTTTTTAATTAAGTGAATTGAGCGAGTTCAAGATGGCAAAGCGGCTAGGCATGCTTATCGAGCGATTGTATATGATTGGTTGGATCTAAAAGTTACAACCAATTATGTTCATTTGCTCGGCGAGCAGGCTAGCCTAAGGGCGAAATCATACGATGCGGAAAACAACTGTGGAATAAAGAATGCGTCATAGAAGCAACCAATCAACATTATTCTGCGTTATTCTGAATAGCGCTACTTGGTTGTTTCAAAGACGCATTCTTTATTCCGCAGCCCTTTTCCGTACCGTGTGTTTTCACTATAAATTTTTTCCTATGGGTGCTTTCCATTTGATGACACAAATCTACACAAGTCGACACAAGCGTCGTTCTATCCTTGTTGATATTCAGAGAGTGACAAAGATAGAACGACACTTGTGTCAATTCGTGTCGACTTGTGTCATCAAATGGAAAGCACCCTATCTTGATATCTGTATTCCTTGCCATATTTCGGCGCATGCGCAGAATAATCCGGAACAAATAATGGAGAGGAGAACGAGGAGACTATTGGAGACTGATCGGCTTTTTATTTGGTTAAGTTCGTCATTTGCGACTGTCTGCGACTTGTGAGATCCAGTTCATCTAGTCCAACTTAAATAGAGCCAGTCAACTAGAGCAAGTTAGAGCGTTCACTCCATATCTCCAGCCTCTTTCATTCGAATTATTTAGATTTGATTCTTTCCGGGTGTGGACGATGTAGAGAGTTCGTTCTCGCCTGCATAACTTAAACCAGAGGTAAACAGTCGCATACATTTTGCATGAGATGATTTCAGACGATTCGCGTAGAGCTAATCTATTATCGCTGATATTTTCCCAATAGAAATCGTAAAATTCGCGAGCACTTCGAGAGACGAGTGGGATCTAACCAAGTAAGAATGTTCAATCAAGGCAACTCGTTGAGGACGGGTACATCGAATACATCGAATCCGATGCAAGACTTCGAAGTTGTCTCACCGCCGGATGACTCGGTCTCAAGCCTGGCGTTCAGTCCGGCGTCCGTACAACAAAACTTTCTAGTGGCTGGCTCCTGGGATTGTAATGTTCGTTGCTGGGAGGTAGAGCAATCGGGCAAGACTGTACCAAAATCCATGCAGAGTATGGGAGCGCCGGTCTTGGCTGTATGCTGGAGTGATGTAAGTCCTTCAACAATTATACAATTAGGTTGATTTAATGTATATTTATTAAGATTTGAGGAAGACGAGGTATTCTCAACATTTATCTGCAGTTATAGATCATGGATCATATTCTCAAACAATATGCCACATAAAATATGAAAATGTATAAAATACTATAGTATATGTTATTGATTGCTCATGTATATTGATTGCTTTCCATTTTCATCAAAACTTAAATCATTTATATTTGTGATGTGACTCAATTAAATGTATGTTCCTTTTCATTTTGGCAAGTGAGATCAACTGTTTAAGATCATGTTACTAAGTGTATCATTTTACTAAATCTTGTTGATTTCATCATTTTACTAAACTTATGTTAAAAATGAGGTTACAAACCTGTTGTTATGATAACTTTTATCAAAGTAAGTTTTAATGTTATCTGAATGTAAAATACTCGCATAACTTTAAACTTAATATCACTTTTGTAAAAGGGAAAAGCAACTATTATAGATTTTTTTATTATATTTGTATATAATATTTTTCAAGATATTTTATCTCTCCCCTTTTTATCTCCAACGTGAAATGAAAAAGGAAAAACGATTTGTGCAAGAAGCTGAAGAAACAGATCTTATATATGGTGTAAACTGACTATCCAAATAGCATGGATATTTTCACAATATATGTAGCTATGTTGCAAGGTTACTACAATATTGCTGAAATGTTCCATACTACTTGGATGACTAAAGGACCATTAAATATTACACATTTATGATAATAAGCTATCTTATGATATGTAATAAGTTATCTAATAATTGTTAGGATGGAACCAAAGTATTTATGGCAGGTGGTGACAAGACAGCAAAATGCTGGGATTTGGCTACAAATCAGAGCGTACAAGTGGCAGCTCATGATGCACCTATTAGAACATGTCACTGGATAAAGGCATCTTCATATTCCTGTCTAATGACTGGTTCCTGGGATAAGACGCTAAAGGTAATATTCAATTTTTACTTTTATTTTTGTTATATTTTACAGTTTTTCAATTTTTTTTTGTTTATTAGTTCGTCAATTTTCTTATAGCAAATTCGATCATTTGTCTTAATTGCATTATACTAAATTGGTATGTATTAAAAGCTATTATACATGAAATTAACAAAATGTATTGATTATAAAAAGAAAGCAGCCTAAAGTTGCCTTTAATGTGCACTAATTTAGTATAGTGCGAGTGATGGAATTCATAATTAAATATTAGTCACTATTAAAATATTTTTTGATATTACTTAATTCTTCTATCACAATGAAAATTTCCAGTTTTGGGATCTGCGCAGTCCTAAACCTGGATTGATCATCAATCTGCCTGAAAGATGCTATTGTTCGGATGTTGTAAGTACACGCAAACCATATAATAAAATACATTATGCCGACATGCAGCATTATTGATATTAATAATATTACAGGACTATCCTATGGCGGTTGTGGGAACAGCTGGACGTGGTTTAATAGTTTATCATCTGGAGACCACTCCACGTGAATTTAAACCCGTCGAATTGAGCTTAAAGTATCAGTACCGTTGTGTGGCGATCTTTAGGGACAAGAAAAAAGTGCCGACCGGTTTTGCAATAGGAAGCACGGAAGGACGCGTTGCGATTCATCATCTGAATCTCAGTACAAAAGAGAACTTTACGTTTAAGTGCCACAGGACCAATGGCACACCTAATGGATATCAAGATATCTACGCGGTTTGTTTAAATTTAGAATTTTGATGGTTTTATTTAGACTTTCTATTAAAATAAAATTAAATTAAGATCATGTTAAGCCTGTATCAGATTAAGATTGAAATTGGATTTAACCAATTGAACAAAGAAAATGTGTAGATATATTGATCTAATATCAAGTTAATGAACTCTGCTTTCATCAAATTTCAATCCATTTTCAATTCTAATTTGTAGTCTAATACGAGCTTTACATATTTTATCTTATTATTGTTAAGCCCGATATCCACGAGAAATCTCTCCGAGATCTCGGACAGAGAAACAATTAACAAATCACATTTGAACAATTTGATCACATGACCATTGTGATTGGTCAATTCTTTCTTCATCCGAAGTCTCGATTTCTAGCATCGTGGATACAAGGTTTTAGACAAATGCACATAATTTATCAATTTGTGGACAGGTAAACGATATAGCATTTCACCCGGTACATGGCACCGTAGCGACCGTAGGCGGCGATGGTACTTTTGGATTTTGGGATAAAGATGCACGTACTAAGCTGAAATCCTCTGAAACGATGGAGCAACCCATCACACGTTGCTGTTTCAATCACAATGGGCAGATATTCGCCTACGCTGTTTCTTACGATTGGTCAAAGGTATCGCCGTCATTTAAAGTATGATAATCGTTGAAAGATCTGTGTACAACGTTATTAATTTACAAATATTTCAGGGCCATGAGTACTATAATCCAGCGAAGAAAAATCAGATCTTCCTGAGACCGTGTTACGATGAACTGAAACCGAAGGCTACACCTTAAGCTGATGACATTCGAGCGAAACAGTGTGAATCTAGATATAATTACGAGGGTTCATGTATTTTTATTCAAAAACTATACTATTGATACTTTCTTTTTACTTACAATTGTTAATATGCGTGTAATATAAAATACAGTTAAAATAGTAGTTATTGACTTTTTTGTATATTATGACATAAAGAATTGGTACTGTGAAGCATGTTTTGACATATCATTTGTGTATATTATTTATATTTATCTTTGCACAAGAACCTGAACGCGACGATGAATTCTAAGATATTGAACAATGGTAAATTGATGCCATAATTCGCAAAGCGAGCTAATATTTAAATAATTCTTCCAATAAAATACACATTTTTTTAATAAAATTGCATGTGCACGCTTTAATTTACAATATTTCCTTTCTGTAGTTGAATAACGCATTACATTTGAATAATAGTAACTATAATAGTTTTAACAGTTCCGAACATTGTTGAAGAAATAAGAAGCTGATATAATTATTATTATTAATTGGATGATATAATTATTATTATTAATTAGATGATATAATTATTATTATTTAGTTAACACTATTATATTTAGCTATAATATGATCTATTCCTAACAAAGTCGAATTTAAATTACTTTTCTTACTAAAAAAAAATTAAAACCACCGGCATCGATTAAAACTTTCGTGCACTTTCATGCATTAAACTTCTATAACAAATAAACCTGTATTAAATTAAATAATATATAAATTAAGCATTTATACATATTTTTTGGCCATAAATAAATTAATTACAATTAAAAAAACATTTATTTACGTACTTAATAGCTTTATTTTCTAAAATAAAGTATGTATATACAAATGCATAAATTGAAATTTATGCCGCGTTTCGCATCAAAATGGATGCAAAGATGCGTTCCGTATCGCGCATGATGCGCATGATGCATCCATTGTCCTTGTTTAACATTTGGTAAGCAACGAGGATAAACGATGCATTATGCGCATCATGCGAGAAACGGAACGCACCCCAAGTTTGCGGTGCTTAAATCTAGTGACTTTAACACAAATCGATCAAGCGATACAGGACACAAATGCACAGTTGCACAGAAATATAAACAATATGGCCGACGTATGAGATATATCGGCACGCGAAAGCGACACTGTTTAATAAATCAATATTTAAACTATGCACATTCTAATGCCGTATAGACCTATCATTTAAATGCGCCGATCGACTAATTTCTCCGTGAGAGACATATTCTCCGCGTTACGATGTCGTCGGAGAAGGTAGGTTATGTAGCATCGACAGCTGTATTATATAAAATTATTTAATAAAAACGTCAATGTTAACGATATAAAAAAAATAACGATATAAAAAGGGAAAAATATATTCTATTTTGACCATCAAATTTATATCCCTGTTCGTCTCATTCGATCTTCTGGTAGACCAATTTTCTGCTGGTTTTTTACTATTTGTACGTGGGATCTATTTTTTGTTTCTGCAGTAAACTATTTTTTTCCTCATTTTAACCAAGTATCAAGTACATACTCTTATTTCAATTCAACTTTCAAAAGTGTAGTTCAACTAATTCAACTATAAAAAAACAAATCTATAGAGAAATGTTTATTTAATTGTATACATATTTAATGACAGGTCCTTTATCGACTAGACCAACCCCATGGCAGCGGTAATGTTTATATTTCTTGGCGCCCTGGTAATAGCACACATTTGGCCACAACAGGGTGCGATTCCACCGTTGCTGTTTTTGATAGACAAGGAGATATTCAGGAACGGATACAAATATCTGGATTATGCACTGGCTTTGGCTGGGACTCAGATGGGGATTTACTAGCAATAATATCACAGAATTCGTCAACTATAATTTTGTGGGACGCCACGACTGGGAAAAAGGCCCAGATAGATGCGGGTGTAAGGGATGGGCTTACTTGTATGATGTGGGCAAAGAAGAGTTGTCTACTGGCTGTAGGGACACAAAAAGGAAATCTAGTGCTTTACGATCATATAAATGCCAAGTATGGTATCAGAGCCATAAGACAAGCAAATTACAAATAATGTTTCCTAGCAAGAGACAATGTAATATAGTGATCATTTCATTTTTACTTAACATTAGCAACAAGAATGTAATGATAAATTCATTATAAACAGCATATAATAGAATCTGAAGTTGATTATGTTATTGTGTTTAGACATTCTATATATATAAAGCAGCTTTTAATTTATATTAATCTAGTATAGTATGAATGATCCTAATTCATCATTACTCTAACTTATACTGTCTTACTTCATAATCTTAAGTTACAGAGTGAGATGGTTAAAGTGAAATAGTATACAGGCTGGACGAATTTGACTATTTTCATAAGTTAATAACTCGTTAACCATCGTGGAAATTGTAAAATAGTAGAGGACTTTTCTTCTCAGTTTAATCCATTCTACGAAAGATTTATCGTTATTTTTCAATCACCCAATATATACACAGGGACAGTATACATTTCTTTCCTAGAATTTTTAACAAAATTATTCATGGCCAGACTCTGTTATAGGGTCTCTAATTCACTGTATTATACTGTGTCATTTTTATGTCTTACTAGAAAGCATTCACAATGTGTAAAATATTTTAAAATTGTTTCATTTAATTGTTTTGTGTTACACAGGCGGATACCTATTTTGGGAAAACATAGAAAGCGTATTTTATGTGGCGCATGGTCGATGGATGGTCTTCTTGCCTTGGCAAGTGAGGACAAGGTTTTAACTATCAGTACGAGCGAAGGAGACACTCGTCGAGAGATAACTCTTCAAGGCGATCCATCTCATATACAATTTAGCGAGATGAAAATGGATCACAGGATAGGCGGTGAAAACACGGTATATGATTTTACAACACTCGCTATGAAAAACATCTATAAAATATTTATATACAGCTGTTACTTTATATACTCAAAAATATGTTTAGGTATCCCTTATTGTTAGTAAAACGACATTGTTTTTGTACAATATTTTGGACCCAGACAATCCTATCGAATTGGCATTTCAGAAACGTTATGGATTAATTGTAACTTACAAGTGGTAATTATTTGCTAGTATTAACAAATAATTTTAATAAGCTCTGATTTATTATATCAGTTATGATGTACATGCATTTCCATTTTATAGGTATGGCGATGGTTATATATTGGTAGGATTCGAGGCTGGTTTCTTTATAGCAATATCTACACATATAAAGGAAGTTGGTCAAGAATTGTTTCAAATTAAGAATCACAGAGATTCTCTATCAGATATTGCGCTGAGTCAAGCAGTTGGTAAAGTGGCTACTTGCGGTGATAGTACGCTAAAAGTACATAGTTTGCAGAATCTGGAGGAAACCGAGACGTTGATCACGGTGACCAATGAGAATGGAATTAGCAATATCGAATGGTCGACGGACGGAACAATGCTGGCAGTTGTAACTTACGTCGGAAATATTTTAATTTATTTGATAGAGATTCCAAAATTAACCAGCGTCTGCGGCAATAGAATAGCATTATTAACGAGTCTGATGGAAGTGGCTGTACATCTTTATACTTTAGACAAGGTATCTTCGTTAATATATAATAATAGAGTAGACATTTTTTATCAGGACAAATTATATTTTCAGGACAAACCGAGTCCACAAATAATCAATACTATAATAGAACCGGCAATATTAGCAGTGGGACCAATACATTTAGCAGTAGGATTAAATAATAGAGCGCTCTTCTGGGATTTGTCTATAAGCCATTACGATCAAATACATTTCGAAAGGGACTATTTGGCTACTATAGATAGTATACGCTTGAACGAGACATATGTATCGGCGTTATTCGATGGGAAACTGCAGTTGCATTCAGTAATTAGAAATTTTTTATTAATAGTAAAAATTTCAAAAACAAGGCAGGCTTGTTAATTCTGCTTTATATACAGATTAAATCCGATCAGGCTCTAACAAATAGCGGGAAGGATACAAAGATGTTTCCAGATTCAAATTCTTCCCACAGTAGAATAACGTGTCACGCACTTTGCTCTGATTTTCTGGTTTATGGTAACGATGTAAGTTAAAATCATCGGATAATTTTGAATAATATGTTATAAGTTAGAAGACTTTATATATCCGTTTTAAATTTTTAGATGGGTCACATTATATATTTTTGCTTGGAAACGTTTCATCAATGTACTGAATTTATACATAACAATGGAATAAAGAAGCTATATCTGGACGCGAATGGAGTACAATTGTGTTTCATTGACAATAAGTTGGATGCTTATGTGTTTGATCCGATAAACGAAGCGGCCATTGCTGTGCCTGATTGTCCTGATAACATTGATGATATTCTTTGGGATCAAAACATATTTGAGCGTACTATATTCGCAGTGTATAACAAAAACATTATTGTAACGTATATTTTCGTAAAATACTTTGTTGAAGGTAAGTAGACCTGAATGAGCGTTATGTATTATTATTATAAAGTCTCACATATCTGATTATGTCGTGAACAGGTACCAAAATAATAAAAATAAATACGACCAAGTTACCATCGGACTCAGTGCCTTTACTAATGTACTCTGGCGAAGTAACGCTGAGTACAATGGGTAGTAAATTAATACAATTAACATTAGCATCCCACGAAGAAGTAGGGAATATTGTGGAATCGAAAAAAATTTATGAGATTTTTGAGAATCAAATTTTATGCAGACGGTAAACTTTACGTAATCCAATTTGCAAGTAGGGAAATATGTATAAAATATTAAAAAGAATGCTTTCGAATTATTTTTTAGATTTCAGCAAGCATGGAGTAGTTGCGAAAAATTGAACGACAAAGATACATGGCTAAAACTGGGACAAAGCGCTATTGCAAATTTAAATGTCGAATTTGGTAAGTGTAATGTTATATTATTGTTATATAATTATGATGTTGTATAATTAATGTTATACAATCATTAATTTTATATATTACAATATGTTATATTATTGAAATATGTTAATTAAATTGATCATATGTCATAGCTATTCGCGTATATCGGCAAATGGAAGATGCAGCAATGGTGTGGACATTACAAACTATGGAGAATATAGATGAATTGGCTTTGTTGTGCGGTCATGCGTGTATATTACTAGGAGATTATAATGAAGCCGAAAAGTACTTTCTGCAATCTTCCGAGCCTGTACAGGCCTTGTATCTGAGGAGAGATTTAATGCAGTGGGAACAAGCATTAAGTTTGGCGCAAAAATTAAAACCCGATGAAATCCCTTTTATCGCCAGAGAGTACGCC